TTAATAATCAGATGACCATCTCCAACATGTATCAGTCTAATGTTTTCATTACACCTCCTCTTGCTACTAATGTGCTTTAAAAACCCTTTTGTCTTACACAATATGGGCCAGTTTCAATACTAATTGAGCTTTGGCCTTTTGTGTCTTGTCCCTACTTATATCAAGCACAGCTCTGTCAAATTCCTCACCTTCCCTGTCAAAGCCTGACCTTGGTTCCTGAGATCATACAATTTCTTTTTCCTCTTGAGCAGCATGAGGAGTTCCCTGTTCAACCATTTGCTTGACTTTTGACGCAGTGGAATTCCTGCTCCTGTGCTTTTGTGTAGTGGAGACTTGCATTTTAATTCTGGTTTGGTTTTGCTTTTGTTAAAAACTTGGGGCCATAATATCAAGCATTTTTATTTTTATAACTGTCTGGTAACCTTGATATTTAATCAGATCTTGAGTATTTTGACTTGTCATCTAAGCTTTCATAATACAGAGATGTGGAAAAAGCTATTTTAAAACTATTAATATTTGACTTTTTTAACTTTTTTTTAACTATTAGCATGGTGAGGTTCGGACTATAACTTGATTATGATTCGTTTAATCATGTTTCTTCTCTTGCAGGAAATACAGCATTACATGACTGTGCTGAATCTGGAAGTTTGGAGATCATGAAGATGCTTCTCAAGTATTGTGCTAAAATGGAAAAGGACGGTTATGGAATGACTCCCCTTCTGTCAGCCAGTGTTACAGGCCACACAAATATCGTGGACTTTCTGACCCAGCATGTACAGACTAGTAAGGCTGAGCGCATAAATGCTCTGGAACTTCTGGGAGCAACATTCGTGGACAAAAAGAGAGATCTGCTTGGTGCTTTGAAATACTGGAAGCGAGCTATGGAAATGAGATACAGTGATAGGACTAATATCCTGAGCAAACCTGTGCCACAAACACTGATTATGGCGTATGATTATGCTAAAGAGGTAAACAGCTCAGAAGAGCTAGAAAATCTTATTGCAGATCCTGATGAAATGAGAATGCAAGCATTATTAATTAGAGAACGTATTCTTGGCCCTTCTCACCCAGACACATCGTATTATATTAGATACAGAGGTGCTGTCTATGCAGACTCTGGAAACTTCAAGCGCTGCATCAACTTATGGAAATATGCTTTGGACATGCAGCAGAGCAACCTTGATCCACTGAGCCCTATGACAGCCAGCAGTTTGCTATCGTTTGCTGAACTTTTCTCATTCATGCTTCAGGATAGGGCAAAAGGCCTGCTAGGCACTACTGTCACATTTGATGATCTAATGGGTATACTGTGCAAAAGTGTTCTTGAAATAGAACGAGCCATGAAACAAACCCAGTGTCTTCCTGATCCAACACAGCTGAACAAAGCCCTTTCCATCATTTTGCATTTGATTTGTTTGTTGGAGAAAGTACCTTGCAGCGCAGAACAGGAACATTTTAAGAAACAGACTATCTACAAGTTTCTTAAACTTCAGCCTAGAGGGAAGAATAACTTCAGTCCACTTCACCTTGCTGTTGACAATAATACTACCTGTGTCGGTCGCTACCCAGTTTGTAAATTCCCCTCTCTACAAGTTACTGCTATCCTGGTGGAATGTGGTGCTGATGTAAATGTCAGAGACTCTGATAACAACAGTCCATTACACATTGCTGCACTGAACAACCATCCAGACATCATGAATCTTCTTATCAAGTCAGGTTCACATTTTGATGCCACAAACTCCCATAAACAAACTGCTAGTGATTTGCTGGATGAGAAGGAAATAGCAAAAAATTTAATCCAGCCCATAAATCATACTACTTTGCAGTGTCTTGCTGCTCGTGTAATAGTGAATCATAACATATCCTATGCAGGGAACATCCCTGAAAAACTAGAGAACTTTGTTTTGCTTCATAGATGATAGTGTAGTGTCCCAGAGCACTGTTTTTGAAGCACGACTTGGTGATAATATTTTCCTTGAGCACTGTTGTGATACACCAGCGTTCCCTTAGCTTGCTCCATTTTGCTCTCATTGGCTAAAGTGTTGTTAGCATCAGATCTGCAGAGTTGGTTACCCAGTATTTAATATGAATATACCATATAATATATTTTGTGGATTATTTAGAAATGTAATGCCATATCTAGACTTTCAAATTGTCTGCCAAAGGCTTGTCTTTTCTGGTCTTATTTGCCTGTTGAGTGTTTGGGACTGAGATGAGTATTTTCCACTGATGTCTTTCTACTGTAATTGTCATGTGGATTTTATACAGTTGGAAGGTCATCTTTTTTTGGTTTTGCTTGAGCATTTCTACTCTTACTCTCTTCTTTTTCTATGGACTCATTGCTAAACTGTACAAGTTGTATGGACTTGTTAACATTTGCAACTACCATAAGTGCTTTTATCTTCTCTATGCACTGGCTTAAACATGACTGTTGTGTGTGAGCATATTTCTATGCAGCACTTGGCCAATTTAAACTTAAATGCCAATTTTGTTTTGCAGTTTGTTTGGAGCTCTTTTGAGAATGCTGTCTTCATAGCATGATGAATTTTGGAGTTATTTATCAGCTCTCCAAACTTGGGTTTGACTTTTTTGACTGCTGTAACTGAGATTGCTTTCATCTTGTTCCTCTGGAAATTTGTCCTAAATTTGGGAAAAGAAAATCTTGCTTTGTCTGATTGTAGTCCACTTGAACTTTAAATCTGAAAATTGTTCTATTGCATCGTGCAGCTGGGGGAAGAGTCCTCATTATGTACAACTGACACCTTCCCCTTTGCACTAATGTCTTGCTTGTGCTGATTATGTGACTAGATGTGAAGTTTGCTCAGAGTTTAACCTCAAACCTTAATGATACACTTTAACGAGAAGTAGTTCAAATATATGCTGTACTTTAAAATCTGCAAATCTACAGAAGAAACTAAAGCATGTTTGTGGCATGATGCTTATCAGTCCAGATCTAGACATCACCTAGTATAGTAAGTGGCTGTCTGCCAGGATATTGGAAATTCTATAACAGTGTCCTTTTTTCTTCTTTTTAAGTATCTTTAGAAATACTTGCATGGATTTTTCATCTCTACTGTGTCAGCTCTACTTAACAAAAGCGGAAGTTCTGTTGTGTATATAGCTCCTAATTAAAGTACATATTTTTATAATATTTGCACAACAGCTTAGCTTCTACAACAGAAAGGGCTCTTAAGACTCGATAAGTCTATAAATGAAGATCATAAATGTGAGTGCGATTCAGGTAATTAATATAATTCAGCACTTTACTGTTGATTATTGGTAGGATTTATTACGGCACATTAGCCCTGCAGATGTCTTAAAGTGAAATTAATTTCTGCTGGATAGGATACAGGTTACTTGCAAATTTAGTGGTCTAGCATACTGGATATTTTTGACTTAATGTCTCATCTCAGTGGTGGACAGTATGTGTATCTATGGGGTTCTTACTCCAGAAATTCAACAAGTTGTTTTAGAGAAAGATATTTAGAATCCAAATAAATTAGATTAGAAGGGTCTTTTTAATACTTAATGTTTATTTTTTAAGTTGATGTTGGAACATTTTTGTCATTTAAGTTGAGGAAGAATGTGTGTTGGGAGCATATAAGAATAGTACTTCCACGCTTTTGGTCTGTTTTGGCATTTCTGTCAGTGCACAGCATGGTGCCTACTAGCTTAGCCATTCTTAGGAAAATTATGGGGATATTTTTAAGCAAAGATGTGTTGAAAGCAGTGCTGTTTGTGTGTTGCCACTATAAGACTTGCTATTTTGAAGCAATTTTCACCTGTTTGTCCCTTGCTATGTCTACATTGTATAAAATTACAAGAATCATAGGTTGGAAGAAACCCTTGAGTCCAACCCTCAACCCAGCACTGCCAAGTTCAGCACTAAACTGTGTCCTTAAGTGCCACATCTACACATCTTTTAAATACCTCCAGTGATGGTGATTCAACTGCTTTGCTAGACAGCCTGTTCCAAAGTTTAACCACCCTTTCCATGAAGAATTTTTTCCTAATATCAAATCTGTACCTTCCCTCGTTCAGCTTGAGGCTGTTTCCCCTTGTCCTATCACTTGTTACTCAGGAGAAGAGACCTACTTCCACCTTGCCACAACTTCCTTCCAGATAGCTGTAGGGAGCGATAAGGGCTCCCCTGAGCCTCCTTTTCTCCAGGCTAAACACCCCCAGCTCCCTCAGCTGCTCAGACTTGTGCCCATCTCCATTGCCCTTCTCTGGACATGCTCCAGCACCTCAATGTCTTTCTTATAGTGAGGGGCCTCACAACAAGTTGTGGCCTCATCAGTGCTGAGTACAGGGGGATGGTCCTGCTGGCCACGCCATTGCCGATGTAAGCCAGCATGCAGGGTTTGCTTGCATCACAGAGGAGTAAAATTCTAATCAATTGACTGAATTGCTCTGGTTTGTAATGCTTAAGACACATGCCATTCAGCTTGTCATTTGTGAGAACGTGTAGCTTGATTTTTGAATTGATATATTTCAATGCTTTTCTGCTAATCTGTAAGTAGAGATAATCAACAAATCATACCATGCTAGAAACACATTATCTGGCAAGTCATAAGAATAATTCTTTTTGTATAGGTCACAGAGAAAGGGATTTTTAGAGTTTTTACTTTGGAATCTGTATTGCTCTTCAGGGGTTATAGTTTAAATTTAGGTCTTCATAACTGACAAATACCCTGTTTAGTATTAGCTGGACATTATTACTTGGTTGTTCAGCCTGGAGAAGAGAAGGCTCCAAGGAGACTTTATAGCACCTTCCAGTACCTTAAGGGGCTACAAATGAGCTGGAGAGGGACATTTTACAAGGTCGTATAGTAATAGGACAAGGGGATTTAAACTGAAAGAGGAGAGATTTAGATTGGATATTAGGAAGAAATTCTTCACTGTGAGGGTGGTGAGAAATTGGAACAGCTTGTCCAGAGAGGTTGTGGCTGCCCCATCCCTGGAAGTGCTCAAGACCAGGCTGGATGGGGCTCTGAGCAACCTGGTCTAGTGAAAGATGTCCCTGCCCATGAGGGAGGAGTTGAAACTACATGGTCTTTAAGGTCCCTTCCAATCCTAGCCATTCTGTGATTTATGATCATTAGTCCAGTAATATAATCTAAAAATTGTTAATTACTAGCAAATTTTTAAAATTGAAAACATTCCCAAAATGATAGCATATCACTATTACATCTATGTAAATCTAGTGAATGTTGCTACAAGGAAGGCTTACTGTGTTAGTTACTCTTTAGAAACAAACCAGTTTATTAGGACATGCTGATATATTGCATGTAGTTCTGTCTAAATATCTACTGAAGTGCATCAATCCAAAAGACTTATCACCTCTATGCAGAATTTAACTTTTCATGGTAGTGAGCCTCTCTGCTGAACACTTATGTTGCCAGATAACTTGGACTTAGGTGTCCCAGCAGGAGAGTTCATGCATTTACGGCAACTTTGCATTTAGCCCTGTGTGTTTACACTACCCTGTTTTATTTCTCTTAATTTTAAAACAGTTTGGTACAGAGCCTGTGCTGAGTAACGTGTTAGGGGTTAGTTTAGGATTTACTGGCTGGGAAGGAGGGCTGGGAGAGCAGGCCCTGTCTGAGATGCATGTGCCACTAAGGCCTGTGCTGATGGGTAGTAGCCGTTTTGCCTCCTCAGCCCTGATACAAAGAGTTTTGTCTCCACTTCAATATAGATACCAATTTCCTGGACCAGATATTTAATTTTTTTTATTATTATTATTGTTACTATTCAGAGGTGGGAATAAGTTTATTTTAGTGAAACATATTGATGTTAAATGCAGTGGTATTGCAAGCTGTGGTAAGGACAAGGAACTAAAGAGCATTCAGAACACAAAGAATGATTTTATTTTTGTCATATTTTTAACTCATTCTTTTACTGTTCTTCTCTTTTCTTCCTATTTGGCCTTTTTTTTTTCTGATGAGATGCACTGCTTCTGAGCTACTGACACAGAAAAATGTTGACAACACTGCGGAAATAATTGTACACCCTGCAGGGGTGAAACAGGTTTTACATTGATTAAACAACTTACAGGTTAAACTTCCTTGAGACAAAGACACTGATACCTCCTTGCTTGTTGAGACCTCTGAAGTTACATTTTTTGTGAAGGGGATATATGCTTAAAGCAGCTTCTAATCATTCTGGGTTTCAACTGAAGCACTTCAACAAGGAAGATGAAAAATATTCTCGTAAAAAAATTCTAAAATTTTATTCCTATTTTTGTATCACTTAGGCTGGAAACAAGATTCCAGCTGTCTGCGGTGTCTCTGTCCTGTTTGTTCAGTGCAGTGTAAAGATGCTTTCTGAAATGCAAGGCAACAGTGTGTTAGTTTTCCATATATACTTTACAACAGAAAGGAAGTAGTTTTGTGTATTTACTAAGTCCACAAAGAGCTGTCTTTTAACAACTGTTTTGTAACTGGTTAAAATTAACTTCTTTCCATTTTTAAAAAACACTACTTTAAAAAAAGGAATACAATGCTAAAGCAAAATCCTTAAAGGAGGATTAATAAGAAGATAAAAACCTTTTGAGAAAAAAATGTGCCTCTTCTCAGTTTTGTATCAGCTGCAAGGTGACAGTGGCAGGATATGACTGCTCTTGAAATAGCTTCCTCATGCATTGAAGTATAGAGTGGAAGGACTGTTATACTCTAAAATGCTGAGAAGCACGAAAAAGTAGACTAAACACTAATTTTACCTTCTGTGACTACAATGAATCCGACTGGTATTTAATGCTTCAAAGTGATTTTGGGGAAGTTGATGAGAGACATACTAGACTGCTCTTATTTCTTGGCTGTGAGTGTAAAAGTAACTGTTGAGCCCTCAGTGAGGGCAGAACAAAAAGCTGTTGTTGGTTTGGTTTTAACTAACGTTGTCCTTGTGTTCCATTCTATCGCGAAGACTTCCTATGCAGGGCTAGCTCCGTGTATGGAAATATTGCAGTTTCTTTTTTACGTGAAGTAATTTAGCTTTAACAGTAATGTAAAAAAGGAATAACAAGCATATTTCTCTGCTCTTACTCTCCTTAGGCTCCAAATGCAGAATACATTAAAAATATGTTTTGGAGAACACCTGTGTGAGTCTATATATCTGTTTCCTCTAGGGTACTGCAGTACTGGTTGGTAAACTGCTTTTTCTGTTGAGTATGAGTAGCTAAATGTGACTGCTGCAGCTTTAGACTTTGATCTTCATGTCATTAAGAATTGTATCTTAAACAAAATGTCATGTTTCATGCTCTTTCTTTCTGTGAAATGGTGGTCCAGTCAAGCCTTTGAATTTTGGTAGTGGGTAATAATAAAGAAAAGGCTTAAACTGGATGATATAGTAGAGATTATTTTCCCAGTTTCTAGAAGAAAGCAGTTAGTCATACTATTAACTCTGTGGAAACAGTACTTTTAGCATAAAGTAGAAGAAGAAGTAAGCAACAGGCACTTTATCAAAATGGTTGTACAAATTAATTTTCTTCTTGAAGTATCTCCCCTGTTGCATGAACAATTCAAAAAATAGACTAATAAAATACTTCAAGGGTGAAAGAAGTATAGGATCCTTATTAAAGGCAGCTAGGGAATTGAACACTTTGAAGAACATTATCATTATAAGTTCAAAATATCTTTAGAGTTAAGCACAGTAGTAACAGTCTATCCGATAAGGCAGTGCACATTTCAGAAAGCTGAAATTTTAGATTAGGCCTAATCAGTAACAACATGAGGTTCTGGAAGAGGAAAACTGATCCGAGCTTTCACAGTAAGATAATTGTCACACAGATGGCTTTAATGATTTGAATGTATTCTCTTAATTAGGAAAGGGAAGAACTGGAAAGGATCATTTGCATCGTTATTCATCCCTCTGCAGTTGCAGATGCTGAAAGATGTCTGCTGTTACCTAAGCTGTGTAACTATGCAAAAATGCTTCTTGGCAGTAGCAAATGCTGGCTGTCAGTTGAAGACCCAAACTCACCATACCAAGTCATGCAGGACTAGGGCAAAAGAGACGAAGTGTGTGGTATATTACTCTGGCAAAGGCAATCCATTTGTTTGTTTCCCACATAATATCCAGAGGGCCAAATGCCATCCACAGTGAACAGCAGAAAGCCCTTCCCCTTCGCGCTAAATCAAAGTCTTACCTTGCAGTTGATCTCTAGCATTCAGAAAAATTGAGGAGAGGCTATACTCAGGAATTAGGAACAGCAATATTGAATTATGCATACAGGAGAAAAAAATAATTGCTTTCTGGTCCCTGTAAGTGCTTGTTGAAAGCCAGTAAGTGTGAGGCAATGTAGATGATGAATATGGCAACCATGTCTCCCATCAGATCATAAGACATGTGGGTTCCTATCTGAAGTTCAAAGCATTGCTTCTTCTCCTGAAAATTTATTGAGTCATAAGTTCCTTGCCAGAATTTCTCTTTAGAAGGCATTTGGGACTCCAATCCGTCAATGATTAGGAACCTAATTCCCAATTCACAGCTTTGTTTATCTTCTCATAGTTTTAGCACTTGTCTGTCCTTCAGCCGGTTCCTTTTCTCAGCCTTCATGTGGTTAGGCTACACCAACCAGCCAACCCCCCCCTAAGATGTAAGGATGAGCAAAAAGCAGAATAATCCAGAGGTAAGCCAACAGAATGTTTCCGTTCTCCCTTTCCCCCTCTCTTGGTTGTATGCTACCACAAATACCAGGATTCACTGATTCATTAAACATGTTTTGCTGCTGAACTGGCAATTTAAATTGCCAATTCTTTCCTTGTTACAACAGGAGGGATTTTTTGCGGTAAATAGTCACTTGTTTTCAGATAGTGTAGCTTGTGTCCTATTCTGATTTTTTAGGTCCCTAGATGTTATTTTCTTCTATTCACACACAGCATTATCCTAACTAGAATGCGAGGCAGAATGTTCAGTGAATGAGACAAGCATGGATTATTTTTTATTTCCATCCCATAGTTTCAAAATAATGAACTTGCTTTTTCTTTTTTTTTTTCCGCATATGTGGTTACAAGGCTTGCACTGTACTTTTTTTTGCTATCCTGTAATTTAGAGTCCTAAGCTGACTGTGCTCTTTCTCTGTTTTTCTGGCTTTGCTGGTTGAGGGAAATACATCACCTGCTTTATCATTACCTCACCTACTCTGTGAGGGAGATGCCCAGTGTGTTGTACATGAGGAGTGCTCATGGCACTTCCACTCCCACCTTTGGTAACCCGAGGGCCAAAGAGCAGATCTGTGAGAAGAGTGGTCTGTGCAGGGAACACTCACCCCAGCATTGTAGTTTAGATCAGGGGTGTGCTTTTCAAATCAGTCTCCAGATTGTCCTTACTCTGCTTGTTTGTGTTCATATCACTGAGGTCTCTTAGTCCCCAGACTGGATTCCTTTTGAATGCAACTGAGCTGAAAAATGTGCTCCAAAAGCTCACCTAACAGGCTTTGACCACTAATGGGTGTCCAGTTCATGGGAGAAGACTTTTATCTTCTCCCGTTCCCTATTTCATCCTCTCAAAAGCGTCACAGACTTTTGATCCTTGGCACCAACTTCTCCATGTGACAGATCTGCTTCTTGCTAATACAAGAGTAGTGTACTTTTCAGTTTCTCTTCTGATATTAAACATTACAGAATCACTTAGGCTGGAAAAGACCTCTGAGTCCAACCTTTGAGCCAACACCACCTTGTCAACTAGACCATGGCACTGAGTGCTACATCCAGTCTCTTTTTAAATAGCTCCGGGGACGGTGACTTCACCACCTCCCTGGGCTGCCCATTCCAATGTCCAGTCATTCTCTCTGTAAAGAACTTCTTCCTAATGTTCAACCTAAACCTCCCCTGGCATAGCTTAAGACCATGCCCTCTTGTATTGCTGGTTGCCTGGGAGAAGAGACCAATACCTTCCTGGCTACAGCCTCCCTTCAAGTGGTTGTAAAGAGTGATGAGGTCTCCCCTGATTCTCCTCCAGGCTAAACAACCCTAGCTCCCTCAGCCGCTCCTAATCGCTTCACCAGCTCCAATCGCTTCACCAGCCTCATTGCCCTTCTTTGGACATGCTACAGCACCTATACTGGTTTTTCTTTTCTCTTTCTTGTAGGTGGTTATTGCCTATCCAGGATAACATCCCATAATCTATGCTTTGAGCTGGAAAATGAAAATGTAGTTGATTGCTAAGATGGATCTACCACATCATTAACTGCTGGAAAATGAATTAGCTGTGCTGTATGTATTGCTGATGCTTCCTCCTGACAGCATTACGGACCTTAGTACAAAATGCTGTTCACGTGTTGTAAAGAAATATTTACTCCATTATACAAATGCAGAAACTAAGACACAGACTCTTAAAATGATCACAGGAAGTTTGGGCTGTGGCAAGGAACAGGGTTCTTTAATTTTAAGACTCTTTGCTCCAGGTATGGTTTGACATGGTGATTTCATACATGAAGAGTCTGCTATGAAACAAAACAAAACCACCAAGAATTTCTTAGAGAAATCAGGCTAGTGTTATTGCACAGTCTTAATGTATGTGTCTATCCATCTTCTCAGTAATTTCTGAACATGTTGGGCCAGTTTAATAAACTCAACAGAAATAGAGCAGCATATGTGTGTCTGTAACTTCCTTGGGAACACCAGAATGAGCAGATGGCAGAGTCCATTCTGACAGTTCCAGCTGAAGAAGAGGATTCAGCAGGAGCTTGACTCTTACTAGGCATGAGAGAATCCACACAGGGATTAAATTACTTAGGACCATGAAAAAGTCTTTGCTCATAACCTGAGCTTTACTGGAGAGCAGCAGATTGGGTCAGTGTTTTAGACATGTCACACATTCATTACATCATATGTCATACAGTTCCTGCACCTCTTCATCAATGTGGTAGCATCTGACCAATGGATGATCCTGGTTTGTGCACTGTGATCTCCCTCATTAGGTCCTGGGTTGTTGCAGTTAGCTGTAATGGCACAGAATGTAAATGAGAATTGGCCAAGCTGCTCAAAAATTAGAAATTCTGGGACCTTTTCTGACTGTATACTGTTGCACTGTACATGCCAAAATGGTCCACAGTTAATTCTGATGTGTAGGTATTGCCTGTTAAGAAGGTTTGGGGAAAGCATGACTCCCAGTTTGTCAGTAAGAGTTCTGACCTTGTTTGAGTCCTGATTTCTGTTGACCTCAGTGCAAGGAATGAGCAAGACCAGACTCCATGATCACCCTTTTTCAAAACCCTTCATTTCAGTTCTCAGGGGTAGAAATTGTTGTATTAAAAAGCTTAAAGTTATATGAAATCTGTAAAAGAAAACATGTCTCAGGTGAAGAACACTTCCGGGGGAAAAGGGATCTGACACTTCTGCCCAGTGAGGTCTGCTCTCTCTTGAGCCTCCAGCAGGAATTTTCTGAGATTCCCAATTCTGTCCATGCCTGGGCTTTATTTTCCAGCTCTCTAGAGTTCTCTTAGTGCAGCAGTGTTTCCTTGCCCTCATGCCCCTCTGGCCACAGCGGTGCACTCTGCTTGGTCCCAGTTGCCCTTGCCCTGTGCTGCTGCTGAAAGACAGCTGCCAAACCAGTTATCCCCTCTTTGATCGGGATGCCTGTGGCAGTCCAGCGTTGGTGATGTGCAATGGCAGCTATTTAAAAATTTAAAAAACCCCTAAATGCTCAGATTTCTCTCCATCCTTAGTGACCCTTTTCTAGACATGCTGTTGTTTCTTCTCAAAATGTTCTCCACTTCCTGTCTTTACTGTTCCCAGTTGCTCCCTGGAGTATCACGTTTCCCACTCTTCCCCTGCTACCATTGTGGCTGACTCAACCCTGCGCTGAAATGGGAAATGCTTGGGGAGATTTGGCACTTGCTATGCTTTAATCAGCTGTGCTAATTCTAAGCTGTGTCGATTTGGAAGGGGGAAGGCTGGAAGAAACGCAGGATTCAATTTGCTTGTCCTTTCTTCATCTGCCTGGTTCTTAAGCAAGGTGATAGTGCTTAGCCTCCTGTCATGATTTAACCTCAGACAGCCACCAAGCCCCCGGCAGCTGGTCTCTCACTCCCCCACCAGCAGGATCAGGGAGAGAATCAGAAGGATAAAAGCAAGAAAACTCGAGGGTTGAGATAAATGCAGTTTCATAGGGAAAACAAGAGCCGCACATGCAAGCAAAGCAAAACAAGAAATTAATTCACTGCTACCAATGGGCAGGCAGGTGTTCAGCCTCTGCAGGAGAGCAGGGCCCTGTCACACATAATGGTGACAGGGAAGACAAACACCATAACTCCCTTCCTCCTTCTTCCCCTAGCTTTGTATTCAGACCATGATATCATAGGGTATGGAATATCCCTTTAGTCAGTTTGGGTCACCTGTTCCAGCTGTGTCTCCTCCCAGCTTCCTTGCCAGCAAGGCAGTATGTGTAAGCCCTGCTTAGCAATAACAAAAACATCTCTACGTTATCAAGCCTGTGTTCAGTACAAATCCAAAACACAGCCCTGTACTAGCCACTGTGAAGAAAATTAGCTCTCCCTCAACCAAAACCAGCACCCATCCTCATTAAAGTGAAGTGTGGGCTCTGTTAATTGCTCTGCACAGTGTGTTTTGTTTCCCATGAGGTTGCAGATGTACTCTGCAGGTATTGCTGGTGTAAGCTGTTAAAGATTCCATAAGCAGATTGGATCTTCGAATCAGCAGTACTCATACCCATGAAGAAGGTACTTAAAAACCTTTGTCCCTGTTTAAACAGCTGTCTTCTAACTTGCTGATTTTTGGCTCCTAAAATCTGCCTTGAAAAAGTGTAATTTTCTCAGTATCTTGGCAGGTCCCACTAGTTTGTCCACCAGGTTGCTGCTTTATGACTCCATTTTGCCCTTCTATGCTGTGAAAATATGTAGTAATATTAGGAATGTGACAGTTTGTGTGTTTCTTCTGAATATGTTTATTGACTCTGCAAAAGTGGAAAGTGCATAAAAATTGCCTCTTACAGTGTGCTCTGCCAGGCTCTGTCTTGCCATTCACAAGGCACAGGGTCATCTATCTCAGGATAAATTCTAGTAGGCTAAAATTTTTAATTGGAGATAACAAAAATATGTAAATTACTACTGTAGAAATATAGTTTAAGAACCTGAATTGAATATGGAACTATTTTTTAAATCCAAAAAGGAGAAAATTAAAGGAACCTGGACATACTTCTAATAAGTTAAATGCCAAGCATGCTGATACTGGTGGGACTGAGAAGCAAGTAAATTCACTTCTGACCCTGCTCAGTCACTGATAACTTAGATAATTAGACCTTTATGTACTTAGAGCAAATAAGGCTAAGTGCACAGAGCTGGCCAAAGGCTTCATGGCAAAGTAGGCAAAAGAAACTGCAGCAGAAGAGGGAAGAAAGGCCAGAAAAGATCTTACAGAAGGAGGAAGATGTAATGGTCAGTTGGACGTTACCAGGCTATACGTAACCTCATGGTGCCACAGAAGATTGTCTCTCAACCTTTGCATTCACCATCTTCTCATAGTAGTCTTTCCTGTCCATCTTGCATGTCGGGCAAAGGTTTGAGCTCATTCCTGTTGCAGCAAGTGTGAGGGATGAGGCTGAAGAGTGCACACTTAGCTCTTGGTGTTGCAGCCAGCAGTGACGCAAGGGGGATAGCAATGTTTGCTGCTAGAAGTCCCTTTCTTCTGTCAACTGAACACAGCAGCTGTCCCTCAGTTCTCCAGAACAGAGAAAACTGAAAGACTTGATCTAGATAGCCCCCTTCTTTGAATTGCACTGTGATCTGGAGCTGAGTGAAATACCACTCAAGGTATCTGAACACACTGCTCTGACTGAAAGCTGTCAAGCTTTCAAGCTTGGGCACAAGCTTACCACCACAAGCTGGGACAGTGCCACTCTTTCCTAATAAATCCTCAAACCCTGTCTCATTTAGTCTTTGACTGTGTGACATCAGTCTTACACTGGCAGAAAGCAGTCAAGAAGAAAAGTGAAAGAAGGCCATGCAGCTACTGCAAAGCCAAGCTGACTTATCAGGCAGTAGTAAATTTTATTTGGATGGTGAGAGGATACTCACACTTAGTAAGAAAATGAAGTATTGTTTCTGTACTAATGGCAGAAAGCAGTGCAAGGCAGTGACTAGAGACAGAACAGAGTTTGTGCTCACATATTGTGCACAATCTGAAATATCACCTCAAGGTTTGAACCCAGGAAAAGTAAATAAGCAGAAATGTAGCTTTGTATCTTTTCTTACCGGTTAAGATTTTATGTGTAGTCATAGAACCATTCTCTGACATTATGCTAAAAATTCCTGAAATCTCCACCATGGTTGATGCAAAGTGACTGCAATGTCTTCTGTAAAGGACTTTTCAGTACAAAGCCCTCTACCTTCTAGGCAGAGTTCGTCTACATAGTCAACTGCTCAGCAATCTGCTCAGCTGAAAAAGCACTTTTGAAATGAGGAACTACTCCATCAGATACAGAGACAGAAATGTTCTAAGCATTGTGTAACAGCATCAGAAATGTAAAAAGCCACTCAGTCCTCAATAAGTTATTTTTCAAAATAGAAATTTCAGAAGGTGGGTAGAAACATACATATTTCCTTAATTCAGGAGATCTGTCTATTTATAGCTAAAACTACCCATTTGCTTTCTCTGTAAAAATTGGATACAGACCTCTAAAAGAAAAAGGTTAAGTGATGTTGTATAGATCTTTTATTATATGTTCTCTGGAAGATGGCTGAGGATGCTTCTTCCAAGAAGTGCTTGCTTTTATGCAAATCAGTGAAATAATTTGCTTTCACACAAAAGTGGACTTTTTAATTAATCAAGGATATCAGAAATACTTACAAATCAAAAAACTTCATGGAATTTTTAGTCTGTCTCCAGCCTGAATGTTTGAACCATGCACACTGCTGAAAGGAGTCTTGGAACTCCTGGAATAGCACCTGGGGTTGAGCACGTGTGTGTGATGAACTGTGTAAAAGAGGCTCAGGCATTCCATTGCTGTTAACCAGGTAGGGCCCAGCAAGAGTGCCTGTATTACATCAAAATAGGCATGTATAGCTCATGGCATAAATATGCATGTGCATTTGCAGCAAAACACTAGGCATGTTCACAGGCATGCATGTACTTATAGATAGAGAGCTGTGAACCTTCCTTAATCATTAACTGTGCTTTTAACGTCTCTTTTCATTTGCCCAACGTAGCAAAGGCAAAGTGGAGTGACTTAAAGTGACTGAGGCAAGTGCAGAGATACCAGATAGCTAAACTGAGGCATTAAGAAAACCAGAAGTGTTAACAATCATTGTTTTATGGCTTGTGTGGCTGTTTGATACTGTCCTTGGGAAAAAAGTGCAGTTGGACCAAGGTATGTGCTAAGCAGAACACTGATTTTCACAGACATAGCTATATTTTGTGTATCCAATGGCATATGATGCAACTGCAGATACAGATAAGGAGACACTATTTTTTCTGGTTTGCCACGGTTAGAAAAATGTGTGACAACCTAGCGCAGAAGAGAAAAGAAACACCCAAATGCCTTTATTTCCTTTTGCACTGTGAGCAGTTTACTATCGATTGCAGGCCACCGCATATACTTTTGCCTTGCTGCCCTGCTGAGGTATCTCTTG